AATAAGAATGAGTAAACAGTGAGAGAGGGAGAGGGAATCAGAGCGGGCGCCCAAGATGTATTGGCAGTCGCTCAAGGCAGTCGCAGTCAAATCGCTGTGATCTACCATATGGCATTTGCCCTTGTACTTAGATATGTATCTATATATATCACGTTATATCATATCATATCATATAGATGTATATAAGAATATCAGAAATATATATAACTATATATCTACACTGAGTAACATTGATATTCGTTTCTTTTTTTTTTTTTTTTTTTTTTTTTGTCAACTTTTTTTCATAGATAGATCATATTATATCATATCATATATATAAAAGAATATCGGGAATATGTTTGTACTATATATGCCATATATAGTTGCACTTGCAATTGGCATTCTATTAAAGGAAATTCTAATTGGAAATCCCATTTCACTCTGATATTCCACACTGGACGAACTACAGGGTATACAGGCCGTCTTGACAATGATAACAAGAATAGAAGAAACTATAATTTAATTTGATGGCCGCTGCTCAATCAAGCCGGCTGAAATGCTAAGCAGCGCCTTAGTTGAGCAGGATTCTGCGGCCGAGATTGATGCATGAGGAAGCTGTCGCTGCACTCTGACCCCCGCTCCAGGCTGATTCTATTCATCGTGCTCGTCTTGAGCTAACAAATGGCAAGTTGCCTGGCATTCGGCTGCTCATATGTCAAATCTATCTATTGTTGACTCTTCGCCCATTCATCGCACACACTCACACACTCACACACACACACATGCGTCTCTAATCATACTTGGCCAGCGATCGGAGACAGTTTGACAGTGTAATTAACAGGTTGAGCTAGCAGTTTGTGCCCATATTGAAATATGCATTGCTCAATGCATATTTGAGGCGATTCTCAGATTTATTGAGCCATACCAGTAACCACATCATTAGCAGGGCGTGGTCAACGGCCAGACAACAGCCGGCATCCGCCCAGCATACCCCAATAGGGTCCTACAGCACTAGCAAACCAACAAACGTGCTCGGACTTCTCGATGAGCTGCCTGACGGTTTCTGCCAGTCCATGTGTGCAGCTAAATCCGTTACCATTACTCCCTCTCCCCCTCAACCACATCCACCCCTCCTCGTCGCACGTTTGCAAAATTCTTATCAGAAATTATTACTTATTAAGGATTTTGCATGGTAGCTGCGGGCTGAGCTGGACTTCGAATATGCTGCCAGAGGAAATGGTGCACTGCAGAAAATTCCGAAACTCTTGTCTGTGCCAGGCCACAACGGAATCTTAATTAACCTGCTCGGCTTTGCGGTTGACACACGAATTTCCAATCTGAACTGATGTTGTTGAAAACAAATTTCCCTTGTCAATATTGGAAATTGTACCAGACGCCAGATATATCTGCATTGTAAGTTTAATTTTTTTAGGGATATCTTCAATCCTCTCTTAGCTCTAATGTCTAATAAATAAATAACTAAATCTACATTGTGTGCTGCATATCGTAATACAAAACCATCCGCGCTCAACTTGCTAACTTTTCCGCTCTTGATTCTTGTACTCAGTCACAAAGCAAACGAGCTTATTGGATTTTTTCAATGTTTTGCTTCTTGTGCGTCCATCCGATAAATCATCCGTCCGTTTCACGGTCCTTCCCTCCGCAAACTACTTCCCTGCTACTGAGACTAGATCTCATGGTTCCCTCTGATACAGTGTCAGCATATAATTGTACGTACGTATGTACACATGTACATATTATATATATAAACTGATAGGTATTAATGCGTAGATCATATATCTATTTATGATCCAGCTCCTCAGCTTCCAGAGTTATTTCAATTACATTTTTATTATTTTCCTTTTATAATAAAATTTTAGGCCATAACTCTATTATTTTTATAATAAAAACTGAAAACAGGATTTATGATATTGTTAAATAAAAACAAGATTGATCTGTAATAATTATTTTTGTTTTTTAGTATATAAATTAATTCAAATAAATAATTTTTTTTTTTTTTTTTAATTACTGAAATATTTTTTTTTTTTTTTTTAATAAAAATTATAATCGTTAGGATCCCTGAAAAAATTTTACCCTCAAATCGAAAAATCTATATCTCTCAATACTTAAGAGCTACAACTATAAAACAAAACATTTTACCTACAGCAGATTGCTTCACCCAAACAAAATCCATTATTTGTTGAACGCGAATGAGTATTATAAAGTTGATAACACCCGAGAGCAACATTCAAATTCGATTATTCAGTGTTTCGCACACAAAAAAAAAAAAAAAAAAAAAGAATAACAACTTACAAATCTAAATTGAAAAGAATTGTTGCTGCCAACTCTCAAACGGAATGGAAACCGAATTGTGGCATTTCTGAAGAAGTCGGAGCTGAAGCAAGGCAGGAAGGCAGGAGTCCTTGCCATGTCCGCTATATATACATGCATACATATATATATATATATATCAGCTGGCATTTACAAATTGATCAGCTTGCTCCCATACACAATGGAGCTGGACAACAGAGTTCGTCGAACCGAGATGAACGCCCCGTGTGCACAAGCAGCGCGAATGCAGATAGTAAACACAACGTTGATAGGCACGATTGGGCAAAGTCACACACGCCCATAATTCCTTGCTCAGACTTGGGCCTAATACAGGTGGCATGCTCGCACCTGGGCAGCCGGGCTTAAGGGCTTCCACAAACGGACGTAGGCAATGCGCTCTACGTGCCGGCATGGGGCAGTCACAAAAAAAAAAAACGGTACAAAGCCGCTCGAGAGCAATAGTTGCATTTTTTCACTGAAGTGCGCTCTAAGAGCTCTCACTATGCAAACAGTACGCTTGAAAGGGGTCAAAGGCGATTTTAGTCGGCGTCCGAACAACTTTAGACTGTAACAAAAAATCTGAGGGTAAAGCCCTGTCAACATTTGCCCAAAGAAAAAAAGGAGACGAAACAAAGTGAAACAGTGCGTGGGGACACGCGTGCTGTTCAGTGGATGGCTTGGGCCAATGTTATGCCCTGGCCCGCCTTCGGTTGTCCCCAGCAACGGCAACGGCAACGGCAACGGCAAAGGGAACAGCCTAATGCGTGGCGCAACCCAAGGCTGTAGTGCATCCCAACGAGTGGGCCGGGTGGGCCGGGTGAGCCGATTTAGCGGTCTCCGAGGCGCGCGTGTGTCAACTAATTGGCACATAATTAACTACGAAGTAAACGAACGGGCCACGGCCACAGCTCACGACTGCATTATACTCTGTACTAATCTAATGCTAATCCTGGCTGGAACAGCAAATTGAATTTGAAGAATTTACACTGATGCTAAAACTCTGAGACTTAGGCTTGCGAACTCTGATTTTGTTAGGAATCTGATGGGAGATTCCTGAATTTTAACTACAATAACATATGCAAACTATTTTTTCTAAGAGTAAAGACTAAGCTAGGGAGCCTCTGAGATATTGATAGGAGACTCTTTTACTCTTGGCTCTAAAGCTCTGAGACTTAGGCTTGCGAACTCTGATTTTGTTAGGAATCTGATGGGAGATTCTAAAATTTAAGCTGCAATAAAATATGCAAACTGTTTTTTCTAAAAGTAAAGACTGAGCTACCTCTGAACCTCTGAGACTCTTTTACTCCTGGCTGAACTCACTGTAAAACTCTGTTTGTTTAACTGTAAAACATATCAACGAGTCACTTCATTACTTATATCTCTTTCTTTCTATATTGTATTTTCTATTTTCTGTGGAATTCCAATAAGGAATTGTATTCATTTAGAATGACAGGATCATACGCTCTCATGCAACCTATTCAAACAGAGTATAAAGAGTGTCTTTGAGCCAAGTGCGTGACGGTAAAGGCTTATCGACAAAAGGAGCCACGAACAAGTGTAAATGCGTATATATGTATATGTATAAGAGTCTAAGTGTGTGTCTGACTGTATGTTTGTGTCTGTCTGTCAGTGTGTGTGTGTGTGTGTGTGTGTGTGTGTGCGTGTGCTTAGTTAGGTTGAGTGGGTAGTTTCCTTCTTGCAGCTCTGTTAAACATGTCCGCAGTTAGAGCTGGCTATTAAAAGTTATTATTCATTTCTGAGTATTGAGCTCTGACTGCGAGACTTAAAAACTTTCGAGTTATTGCATGTTGGAGTCTGTTTGCACAGTCAATTCATTCGTAGCAAATTTTTGTGAGATTGCCAAAGCTGTTGACAAGTGCCACGAGGGCCTCAAACTTTCAAGTTGACCAACAAAATTGTTGGCTCAACAGTGAAATGGGGCATAAAATTAAAGCAATCAGACTGCCAGGTCAACTGATTGTTAAATCAAAGATATGCATAAGACTGCCACCTAGGCAGACAGTGGCCATCAGTGAATTTTCAAAGTGTTGCCAGACAGCTCTATAAACTTATAGATATAATAAATATACAGATCCGACTAAAGAGAGAGATAGAGATAGATTGAAAGATAGATATCAAAGGGAAGAAGAGAGCGGAAAATTTGGAAGAGTTCACAAAGAAATAGTGTTGGAAAGCTCTTAAATTATACTGGTGTTCTTCAACACTATGAATGTTAAAAAATATATTTTCAAGCATCTCTTATTGATAATCTTAAATCAAGTTAAATTTGATATAACACATCATAAAGTTTATTTACGATATACGATTCGATTGCATATTCATTACATTCTAAGTAATTTAGTTTCTTTTTGGCTTTTTTGTGTTCGTTCATGTGACTTAAATCAGTTTGTGTGTGTGTTTGTTTATGTATATACAGTGTCGGAAAGTTTCTCATTTTGGGGCCTTTAGGCAGATGGCCCAATTAGCTAATGGATATTTAACAGAGGAACAGCAACACGCAGGGAGCTGAATTACACACACATATAAAGGCAGTCACAGATATGTATAGATGTAGCTGTATGCTATGGTATATATATATATATATACATTATATATGTATAGTTGTTTATATAGATATAGATATAGATATTCATGATTATCGTTGCTTAAATAATGCGGCTCGGACTCACCTCTCGCCATGGGCCTCCCTGTCCCTGTCCCGTTCCATATCCCTGGCTCCGTCGCCGTCCGGCTCGCCATCGATGAGGCCGGCGCTGGTGCTGCTGCTGTTGCTGCTGCTGGGCGGCTCATGCTCCTCAGTCACTGGCGGAGCAGACGACTCCGATGGCGTGGACCGACTTTGAGACTGACTCTGACTCTGGCTCTGGCTCTGACTCTGACTCTGGCTCTGACTCTGGCTCTGACTTTGACTTTGACTCTGACTGCCGCTCGTGGTGTCCTGCTGGTCCTGAAGATCCGACATCGTTGCGGGGCTGGGTTATGGCTTCTGGCTGTGATTCGAGCGAGCGTGGGTGTGTCAGAGAGCGGAGCAGAGTGTGCTGTAATTGCTATTTAATGAAGCCCTTTAAAAGCCCTTGCGCTAAATGCGGGTCACCAAGACAAAATATTTAAAAACTCGAGCAACGAAGGCAACGAAATAAAAGTACACAAAATGAAAACGAGCACAAACAAACGAACACGAAAACGAACACGAACATGAAAACGAAATGAAAACTAATTGGACAGACCTTGACAGTCTACTTAAAATTGTTTGAGACTCCTGCCGTTGCTGTTTATCTGCGCTTCATGCCCATTGGAAGTCTGTCAAGCAAGGACTGCGAACTAAAGATGATTGCGGAATTTCTTGTTTCATAGTTTGCAAACAAGCTGCAACTTGTAGATCCTAATAAAATGGTATCTTGATATCCTTTTGGGGATTGCGCCTGATTGAACGGAAATAAATATGGAAACCCTATAAGTAGAGCTTGCTAAATTGCAATTCACAGTTGTTCAGAGTTCATTCTTTCGGCCAGCTGGGAGGGACCGAGAGCCAAGTCGACTCACTTTAACCTTGGGTTCTCATAAATATTACTGGACGACCTTTTGAGTGAGCGTTAAACGGTCTCACAACTATAGCGTTTGAGGATATTGATTTTAAATCTAATTTGACTGATTCTAAACTGTTCATGTGAATATTTGTTTCTTTGTATATGTATGTATTTAATAAGCTATTGTTATATTTTAGACACCTAGAAATATTTGATAAATATTGATGAATATTTGAAGCGCTTTGAATAGCTGCTCTCTTATTGAATAGTGCTGTAAATGCTTTGTTTCTGGTTATTGGACATGAAGAAATATTGGATAAGCTATTACATTTATTAAATGGATAAAATGTATATTTATTTTTAATAATATATTCTTATTAAAAAAATGGCCATTGAAATATTTTTCAATCAAATATGAAATAATGAATTTTTATAAATTTTGTTTTTCGTTTACTTTTTTTGTGTATTTTATTGATGAATTTAATTGAAAACCATTTAAAAATAAATAATAATGATTCTGCCTGAAACGTTTTTTTTTTTTTTTTTTTTATCAATTCTCTTCTTTTTTTCTGCTTTAAACAAAAAGTAGATATCCGTTTATTTGACTTAAATAACTTTTTTTGTTTTTCTTTGCAGACGAAGCACAACTATTTTCTTCTTTTTCTTTTTTATTATGACTGTAGATATATAATTAGCATGAGTTTGTGTAAGCGAAAGTAAGCTAAATAGGAGCCAGTTAGCACTGGCTACAGTGAGTGGCAAACAATTGCGTACATTCGTAAATATACTTTAAGAAGCTACTGTACTCCTTGCGGACACCTATTGAAAGCTTTAACCTATCAGAGACAGTTTCGCATCGGTCGAGTCGATTTTGCTTTGCTGCTCTGTTGCTCAATTCCGTTCGCTAGCTGCAGATTTTCTATGTGTTAATTGGTTTTGAACACGCAGTGGTTGTGGCTATTTTAATGCTACGGAGAGTTTTATTGTGTGAGCTATACGTTATGAGAAATTCATGAAAGTCACGAATGAAGAATCAATTTCACACAACTCAAAGGACTTCAGATTGCTTGATGGGCTCAGCTGATATACTACCTAGAATATAAAGTCCATAAAAAATGAATAGTCACCTATAATAATAATTGAACACAAACTCTTAAGACACCAGATCGCTTGAGGACTTCAGCTGATAGTCTACCTAGAATTTAAAGTCTATAATAAATTAATAATCAATCAAACTCGTCTACCTATGGTATAAAGTCTTCGATAAACCTATAATCTCTACTTAACTCTAACTTAAAAGACTCAGATCACTTGAAGATTTTAGCTGATATTCTATCTATAATAAAAAAGTCTATAGTAAATTAATAATCAGCCTAAGCTCAACTCAAACTCTTAAGATACCAAATTGATTCTACCTATAAGGTAAAGTCTATAATAAACCTATAATCTCTACTCAACTCAAATTTAAATGAATCAAGATCACTTGATAACTTCATATGATATTCTATCTGTAATAAAAAGTCCATAATAAATTAATAATCAGTCTAAGCTCAACTCAAACTCTTAAGACATCAATGTGCTTCTACCTAAAATCTAAAAGTCTATAGAAAAATCTATAATCTCTACTCAACTCTAACTTAAAAGACTCAAGATCAGTTTTGGACTTCATCTGATATACTACCTAGAATATAAAGCCTATAATATAATAAGAATCACTTATAATCTGAACTCAACTCAAGTTGTTTGAGGACTTCAGCTGATATTCTATCTATAATAAAATGCCTATAATATAATAATACATAATATCACCCATAATCGTATACCTCTAGAAATTCGAACTTATTGCAGGCAGTTTTGGCTAGCTGATTGACTTAGCCTAATGTGTAAATTCTCCAAAATGGGACTGAAACCAACTTAAAATATCAATGTGTATATATGTATGTATGTATGTATGTATGCTTAAATATATCGACAAGTATTCAATTGAAACAGCAGTTCCCAAAACCGTTACTAAGTCAAGTACAATGTAAATTATTGTGCAGTTCGAGTGAAAAATAGGTTCAGCCTTAAAGCCCTTTCAGTTCTTAATTACAACTAATTGTTGTGAATTTGGTGATTTGTGTGAATGCGGCAGCTGCTGTTGTTAACTGCTAACAAGCGTCGGGCAACTGCCAAAAGTAGCCAAGAATCTGTGGTTCAGCCACTGAAACCACACTGTGGTGTCCGCTGGCAAATAATACAAATGAACATTTAAGCTGCGACAAGACGGCGAGTGGCAAATGGGAAATGGAAAGTGGAAAATGCAGCAATTTCGCATGCGACTAGATGGGACAGCAACAGCCAACAAGTGGTCGATTGAAAGCCAGCATGAATCTAATATATAGCTATGAATAGATGGAAACAATAATGGGACGAGCGTGACAAGTGCGAACAGAGATTAGATTAGCGCAGCACTCACAAATTTGTAAGCGAAAATAAAGCGCGAGCGCTGATAAGTATGCTACACTTTATGCACGCTGCACCAAAGCGGGCCAGCGGGTCAGTGAGGCAACGAAAAGCGATAAAAACAGAGCGAGAGAAAGTGAAAGAAGAAAAAAATAGAACGGCTGCTGAAAGTGAAAATGAAAAGTAAAAAGTAGAAAGTGAAAAGCGCACAGCAGGCTCTAGGGGAGCAGAGGACGACAGCCAGAATGGGAAACTAATAGAGAGGAATGGCGGAGCAGAGGAGTGGAGAGCAGAGGAGTGGAGAGGCAGGCGGGACAGGAGCTGTGCGGTTGGTAAAGCGCATATCATAAGCGAGAATTTTGCACAGCATTTGCATATGAATAATTCGAGCAGCCAGCATTGTGGTGGAAGGGGGCAGGGGTACAACAAAAGGCGGGTGGGTGTGCGCACACATATAAATAAAAACGAAACGCTAACTTGGCTAGCAGCAAGTCAGCGTTTATGGCTCCCGGAGCCATTGAAGCGCCGAGACCTGCTCGTAGCAAGCAAGGCAGAGGACTAGAGATAGCGAGATGGCAAGTCCAATGGCATCGCACACACTAATACACATAAAGTAGGAAAAGCAGAGTAAATTAAACCAAATGCTGAAGATTGCCAGCACCAAAAGTAGCAGCGAAATCTGACGCCCAATCAAACAGAAACATAAGAGGCACAGGGCGACCCGGCAGATGACTGAGCCGCTTCTGACGAGCGTCAAGGGGTGCATTTTGATTACTTTATAATAGGATCGAATGCGACTGCTACTGCGACAGTTAGTAGAAACAAAAGCACAGACCGGCCGCACACACACGCAGACTCACACAGACGGGCAACACACGTGTCTGAACTCAGGTGGAACAGTGGGGCAAAAGCGAATTCGGACAGATTGAGTAGTGAGAGTGGAAACGTCAGTCAGTCGGTCAGATTAGTGATTGTTATTATAGTCGCTGGCGTTCAATAGTTGGAGTTGGTGTAGGTATTGGTGTTGATAGCGGTATTGGTGTGCGTGCTCGTACTGGTGTAGCCGTTGCGGTTGCCCTGATCTTCACCCCAACAGTAACACACACAAGACGAACACAATGCACGCACAGAACGCTGAGAGTACACAATACATGGGAGCGCTTTTTATTTGGCTCTTATCGCACTAGAGAATATGTATGAATATATATGTATATATATGCACACACCGAAGTAAGGTTTTTACAATCACACTTCAAGCACTCGAAAAAAAAAATTTAGTTCTTTTTGCACAACAAAAAAATGTCAAACCTTCCACTTGACTTTCACAATTTTTGAGTTCCAATTTTCGAGTTGTTCTCTTTGCTCAGTTGATTTGATGGCTAGCTTTGGATAATCTACAGGCTTCGCACTGTACTACAGATACGTATATGCATGAGTACATATACATATATGCACTATATGTATATAGTCACAATTGATAACTGTTCTTCCGAGTTTCTGTAGACTGTGCCTGTGACTGTGACTGTGCTCTAGGGCTTGGATATTCAGAATCGAACTTGGCTATTCTGGCTGACTGATTGGCTAGCTTCGGCTCGCTGCGGCTGGGGCAAACGTAACCGACAAAGGCTTGACAGGAACTGAAGTCGCTTGCGTGCAGGACACGTTATTTTAAATTGTTCGCCAGCAACAGAAACAGCAGCCGAGCCGCAGCGCCACGACTGTTGCTTCCTGCTTTTCTGTTCGCCAGCTGTTGATTGTACGGCGCGCTGTTAAGTGCGCTAACAGCGCACTGTTAAGCGACTCCGAAAGCTTTTCGTGTCTGGCGTTTCGGAGTCAGCAGCTCTAGCAGCAAGCCTCACCTTACCACAGCGGGGCAGAGCACATACACGATAATACGAAAATACTCCTTATGTATGTACACTTACCCCAGCACATAATCGCATTACGCTTTGGCGTACTTTTGACTCAATTTTTCATGCCTTACGTCAACAGAGCGCGACAATCGGTCTCAGAAATTGCTGCTGCATGTGCTCAGCTATGGCAGTCAGAACTTCTTCTTCGCTGCTTTCTGCTCCCCCATTCATTTATGAATATGCAGCACTGGCTACTCGCATGCTTGCGTCTGTGTTGAGCTTCTGTTTTGCAAAAATAATCGCAACAAGTGCGAGCCGTGCTGCAGGCGGGAGTGCCTGACTATGATATACCCTGAATCCAATGGGGATCAGTACTTGCAAACGTATAGCTAACAAACACACACACACACACACACACATATCTGTTACACTCCGTGCCTCTTCTTCCTAATTGCGGGCTTGGTATACCTGCTCATTATTCGTGTATATCTTTGAAGGAATCTATGTGGCAATGTAAGTCAATCTAAGTCAGTCATTTAATTGAACCTGATTTTTCATTTTCCATTTGCATTTTCAACAATGATTCCAAACAGCATTTCATCTCAGCTTTTATTTTATTTTATATATTTTTTAATCGGTTTATTTATTGCAGGCTTTTGTCCAAGACTCTACTTAGGCTTAACAAATAAGTAGTCAGTATGGCAGTACATTTTTGCATATATGTATGTATATAAATCAGACCTATACTTATTTATTTCAGTTTAGTTGCTGCCCCCTGCATGGTGGAGAGGATGAGGTCCTCGCACATTGTTGCTGTCAGTCTACTCACGTCTATTCCAATGAGCTCTGTGACTTTAGAGGCTGCAATGCGTATTCTTATACAGCACTACGTAATTCTTTGCAAAAATTTTAATTCTGTTGACAGATGTCAAGTGTCATGTACGCATAGTACCACAATGGTATTTCATATGGAAGGTAAGCATTTCACTCTCTCAGTCAGCATAAAATGCAAACTTTTTAGTTTGACTTTACGAATTGTGGTCACCTGGCTGTGACTTTTGTGGCA